AGGGAGATAGAGTTAATTGGGCACGTACAAACTGGGATCAAAATGGGGTTCTATCTAGGGCAGGTGGCATGTTTTTTGTGCTTTTTTCTTCACTGTCGAGTTACTCAACCCCTTGTCGTCTATATGGAACCCCCTAATCCACTCTGGGATGGCGAGTAATCGCGGATTCTGCCTTCAAGATCATGTGAAGGTGCCAAAGGAGAGAGGTGGTTCTTAGAACGTGTCTTATAAGAGGGCATTGAAAGGGCTCCTTGAGCTGGAACTGCCGTAATGGAGATGAGGGCATCCGCCCAAGCCTAGGAGACAAGGAGCTTTGGAGATAACGAATTTCTTCTAGCAAAAAGGGGTTTTGCATCACGGTAATCCCTGTTGAACACTAGGAGTCCTTCAAATTCATTTCCTCTTGACTGACTTTCTCCAAATAGTGATTTTTCTTACCGATTCTGCATTTCCCAATGAATAGAATAAGCTTCATGTTGGAATAGGACCCTTCGGACAGCACATCGATACATAGGTAAGCGCCCCAATAATTCTTTTCTTATCGCCGCTCGGTCGCTGCTATTGAGGCATTTGATGCACTTTGAGTGCATGCGCACGAAAAACAATGGCTACCGGAAGGTGAAGGGATTACTCGCCGAGAATGTGCACGAATGCGCTCCAACTCGTTTTTGCAGAAGCCGCCGTTGCACCGCAGCATCTTCGGGTGTGGGCTGTGACGCCGTTATCGGCCTGTGTTCGATGGTATCCCTCGAACAGCAATGCAGATCATGTGGTTTCGTTGAACGCGGTCAAAGTGGGAGTTTGTCCGCCAACGGTGTTCCAGGTACGTTAATTATTCCGTTCATATTCCTTTATAACTCTTAATTCTACTCTTTATTCATCTCTATTTCTTTGATTCTCCTTAATTCCCTCTCTCTTTCGGACTTCTTCAGGCGTCCCGTTGTCTGTCCTTCGCTTTATTGATATCCGATATAGGACGCTTCGCGCTTTTGCATTCTTTACTAAATTAAAACGTCGCGGCGCGAGTCTTCCCGTTGAGATGTGACGTCTCGCAAAACAACTGAACTCCTCCGCGGACTTCACAGCCGCATATTACCTCCGAAAAAGTGAACGCCTTTAGCTGCCTGAAAGAAGTACTCAAATAAGCTCGGAATCTGCCGGAATCCCTCATTATGAAGGAAACTCCTGACCTAGAAAACTCCATGTATCCGTAAATGAGGGGGCTACAGCTCATTCAGGGTGGCAGAAATACCATTGGACTGATCCATAAAAGATAGTTTTTTTTTTCTAACTCAAAATTTCGCATTCAAGGTGAATTTCAGCAATGGTTTCTATTTTATTTGATAGAAAATGTTCCACAGTTCAAGCTGGTAGGCTCAAGGTACCTCATTGGTTGGGAACTTTGATCGAGTCGTGAAAGCGCCCCCCCCCCTTTTTTTTGGGGGGATGGGCGGGGGCGCCGGGCGGCGGGGGGCGGCGGGGCGGGGGCCGGGGGCGAGGCGCCGGGGGGCGGGGCCGGCAGGGGGGGATGGGGGGCGGGCGGGCGGCGCTCTGTGATGTACAGCTTATATACCCCCCTCCCACTTGCTTCCCGTCCTCATCAAGCCACCGAAGCGGTGTCGAAGACGCCGCCAGGGAATGAGAGAATACGCCTCCGCCACCCGCCTCCCCTTTTTACCATTCCTTAGTTGTTTCCCGGCTTTCTAACCACTTTTTCCGAGAAACTCATAAGGAAAATTTTGCCACTTGTATTCAAAACATATTTGCTGTCTAGCGGGCGGCAAGGTTGAAGCGGAGTTGAATGAGGATGGGGACGCTGCGGGCCGGGCAAGGGAGGATTAGTTCATATATAGTACCATATGAACAAGAAAACCAAGAAAAGTCAACGAACTATCTGCAGCGAGCCGCCAGAAGGGAAATACGATCCTTTGACAAACGTCCGCCTGTAAAACAAACGAGAAAACTATCCGCAAAAATTTTTGAATTTTTTCTCAGCCCACTACCACCTGCCCCCCGGTCGCGACCAAATGCTGACCGCCTGTGGGAATCCCAGCAACCGATGCGCCTGGGTAGGTTTAACTTCTGAAAGATTCTATTTTAACTAATTTTCAAGTGCTGAAAGTAGAGTTCCAAGTTGAAGCCGATCTGATAAGCCAAGCAGGGAAAGTTTCTTAGGAAGGCACAAAGCGGTCTAAGGGAGCCTGGGAGCCTCCCAGGTGACTACTGAGGATCACTTCAATTCGATGAGAAGGTGCGGCTCTGTTTTCCAGGGGAGGTCTTCCGTAAGAGGACGCGTTCCACGCGATGCGGTTACAGGTCCAAATTACCCACCCATGAGCCTTTGAACTGACTTCAAGCCTTGTGCCTTACTCCTGGTCGATTACACCATAAAGTTGAGCCACTTCTGCAAATGGGAGGAAGCTTAATATAAATTCAAATGGGTGTGCAAAAACACACCTCTTTGATGACCCGAAACTTCATTTTGATGAACAAAAATTTGACAAAAAGCGAGATAATAGGGAAGCAGACACTCTATCAAACAACGTGTAGCACACTGGAAACTCTTCTCAAATTTCTTATAAAATTTTATATGAGAAAAAAAGAAACCATCACTTACGGACCAAAACCTTATACAATGTCCCGTCATTTAGAACTTCCCCAGAAGTGGCAACGTAGGTTCAGTTTTTGGCAATCTTGAGATTCCGCTTGAATTCGCTATTAGGGTTCATTCGGTCGTCAGTTTCACGAAATTTACACTTCTTTGAGTTAGTTGTAAGCTGCCCTGATCCATTGATGAAGCATGAGCCCATAAAGGCAGTTGCACGATGAAACCCTAACAAGGGAGGTGTTTCAGGTCGCTGGCGCCCTTTTTTTGGAATGGCTTTCTTGCTTGTCTGTAGGGGTTCAGATAGGGATCACGGAAAAGGTTTCATTTTTTCGCCTATTGCGTTTCTGGGTAGGTTTCACAAAACTGAGATGAAAAAGCAATTGACAAGAATAGCCGGTTTTAACAACCGTAATGGGCTCCTTACTGCTTGCTACTTCGAGCATGCATAGTTTATGAGGTGGTCACTAATTAGGCCTCAAAATAGATTCGATTAAAGTCAAAATGTAAGTATCATGTGGTAACACACTTGGCATGCACCCGACGCAAGGTGATGTTTTTGTCAGCGCTCCCTTCATGACCACTGCCAGCGGATCGGATGGCGTAGCGGATAGCACGATGGATTCTGGATGGCACGACAATCTTGCGTTCCGATCTCATTGACGGCTTTGTATCAACGCAATGAGACGGTGAACATTTTCGGAAACAAGGTTCTCCACACAACTGTGCTGGTTTGTAAGGTGTCATCCAGGAAAGGCCACCAGGACAACCTGACCATTTGCAGTGAGTGCATATCATTGCACTCGTCTTGACACAGTGAACTCGAAACTACCTTTAAAATTTGCGGAACGATTCTCTGAGCGCGATGTTTTATGGAGTTCTTCGTTCATGTCTTTGTTCTTGGGCGGTTGCGGCCTAGCCGCAATGGAATTTGCCCACCTGTAGCGCGACTCACAGCTCTCTCCGTGCAAAAATATCATATTCGTGTTCACGGGGTCAAACCACCCTAGAAACGCCACCTTGAGGCCACCCTAGAAACGCCACCTTGAGGAAATCCGAGGTTCTGACTCAACTTCGAAAAAACGGGGTAGAGATGGTCACGCCTGGATGATAGCCAATACTCCGACTAGCATACTGGATGACTGGTCTTTGCACTGAAATAACCCTTCAGTCATGTCTTTTCGCAAAGAACAATACCTGGCTCACTTGTTCGTGCCGCCTGCATCATTTTCCTGATTACCGGTAGAAAATTCCATCCCAAGACCAGTCACCCCAGCCTGCTGCTAATTGGTCCATAGAATGGCCCACATTTTCCAAGTTAGGTCGAAACGTCAGATTTGGCTAGAAATTAGTCCCCTAATCCAACCCGCTGAACATAAATGTGATGGTATTTCATTGCAATAACCTTTCTGACATGAGCACAAGCACGCTTTCAGGCCACAATGTGGCCACAAGTATATGCCTTCAAATGGCATATACTTGACTTATTTCCACTGCCAGACACACAGGCACGCGAATGAATGGAAAGCTCTGAAACATTGCAAGAATTTACGCGACGAGGATCCGATCCACAGGATCCGCTATCCACAAACAGTCCCCCTTGCCGTGCCATCTAGAACCCGTCGTGTTACCCGCTACGCCATCCAATCCCGCAGCAGTGACCGTGAAGGGTTCGCCGACGAAAACATCACTGTTGCGTAGGTGGCGTGCCACGTGTGTTACCCATATGCATACTACATTTTGACCTTATAGAATCTATTTATTGACAGGCCTAATTAGTGACCACCTCATAAACTATGCATGCTCGAAGTTACAAGCAGGAAAGGAGCCCATTAAGGTTGTTAAACCGCCCATTCTTGTCAAAATTCTTTCACTCAGTTTTTGACCTACCCAGAAACGCATAGCAAAAATGAAACCCATTTTTGTGATCCTTGTATGGACCCCTACAACAAGCAACAAACCATTTCCAAAAAGCGCGCCATGACCTGAAACACCTCCCTTGTAAGACAAGTAGGGACTAATATGCCTGGCAGGACGCAATTCCACGACCCTGAGCAGGGGCTGGCTTTCCCAAGGAAGGTACCCTTATAAGGGCCCTATCAAGCCGAACGCCCGCCGAGCCCGCGTCTGCGGTTCTGCGTGGATTATATGAGTGCATTTAGCAGCCGTATCTACCGTAGCGTTTATTGGCACATTGCCAACGGGGAATTCGTCCGCAATTGCTTTCTTAGTCATCAAAAACGGAGGTTTTTCTTTCCAGGCTTAACCGTTTCACTTGGTTTTTCGCCACTTTCCCGCTATATAGCGCTCTGCTAGCATTTTAGACCGAGTACCAATTTATCGTGGCATATGCCTTTAAGCTGAAATTGCTTTTGAACCTATGAGGGCTGCGTGGATGCTGACGCAACGTCGCGATCCCACTGGAAAGGGCACTGCGGAGGCGAAGAGGGGACCCTCATTGCAACCCCTGCTGACGAGTTGGCCAGTTTATGTTCGTCAGGCGGCGACGTCCCGTCACGGCTGGATGGCCGTTAGCCTGATTGCTGAGCAGCAGGAGCATCTAGCCACGTGTGTTATTAGAAGCCATCCGGCAGGCGTTCTCCATTGGCTGCCTCAATGCCGTTGCTTCATTTACCAGTTTTTTTTTCGTAAAAAGATTTCTCAAAAGTACTTTCTATTGTGTGAACAACGGACAATGCTCTTTGGTTCACCACTCCCTACTCGACAATTCTCTCGGTGCAATTCACTCTCTCAAGCCGCTTCCGCAGTCAATTTGAGAGAACGAGGCTAATTGCCACCTTGGTCTGACTTTATCGTCGCCGTCAGTGTACTGCTGCCTCCTATGCCCTTTCGCAGCCTTTTGCTCATATGTATTTCCATTAAGAATTCTGCTTCAGAGCAGAGTCGTTTGATCTCTCATCCTCCCTAATCTCTCTGTATTCTTATTCGTTTGCAGCTTTTATTGTTGGAAATTTGAGGTGCAATTACAAGGCCTGCAGCCATCGACCATCTACCGTGTCTCCGTGCGTACGAAACATCCGAAAGCTGTACTTGAGCAACGTCCTGTTGAGCGGTGTCTGGACTTCAAAACATTGCCGAAAAGTAAGTTCCATTCCTCCATTGCTGTTTTGCTTTCCATTTTCGATCGCAGCAGGCTTGTTTCCTGGTGTTAGTCGCGGGCGCGGTTTCCTTTGTCTTGCATTGTCCTGGCTCTACCACTCCGCCACCCGAATAACCTCATCTACATTCCCTCGCTCTCTGCCCCTTCCTATCTCCCTGACAACATGCCTGGAACCACTAGGCCCTTCTTTCCTCCGTGGCTTCTCATCCGTATTTCACGCATTAGTAGACGACACTCCTCTCACGAGTTGTTCCATTCATTGCCTCGCACGCGAGCTCGCCTCGTCTATTCTAGCCGACAATAAGATCATTCCACTGACGCTCTTCTAAACTCCTGCCAGACTGAAGATCTCGCCCAGGGAGGACCAAAATCCGTGTTTTCGTTCTCCGTTCTGGCACATTAATGACTGTTCGTGGCCAACAGAAACGCTCAACAAATTCGTTTATATGGCCGTTTGCCCCCTTTCGCTCGCGCCGTTGCAAAACACAAACCCAGCGATTTCCACCCAGATTGCGTAAGCCGTTCTGTGGACCTCATTAATTTCTTGAACCATGAATTGATTAGGGGAATGCCTCCAGTCAGGTGCCGTTGATGGATGACAAGCTCCGCCCCAACTCTGGCTGGCTGCTTGTGGCAACAACGGCACCGGCTTATCCTTGCTTGGCTACTGTACGCTATGTCGCTGCTATCCTAGCCTGAATAAAAAATTTGCTGTGTTGCCGGAGAGAAACAAAAAACTCGGAAATCAGCTCAAAATGTCATCTATTATGCGTTCTATAGAGGCTTTCTTCACAGTTGCCACACCCAGCACAATCTCATCTCCATCTCATTGCTCCTTGCATCTGAAAAAAATTTCTTTTCCTTCTTTCTAAAGGCACGGTCCGCAGTCATGTATAGAAGTTGAAGATATGTCAAACGGGAAAAGGGGTGGACACCTGCGATCGACTGTTAGAAGTAGCTTGAACCGAGTGCTGAGATTGAGCCATGCAAGATTCAAACAAGGACCCGAGAATTTTGGACCAGGACACATCGTTGTTGGGAATTACAGGAGGGAGGGGGGGGGTCGTATTTGGTCGCTGAGAGAGTATTCAGGCTGAGAAAGAAGTTTTTTGGTAGCTGTTTTGAGGTACGGTGTAAAAGGGGGGGGTTGTATTCTCCTTCTGAGCTTTTGAGAGTTCTGAGAGAG